AACAGAGAATACCCCTTTATCAATTACAGGACATAGATGGCGAAGACATAAAAGGGACATTTTACGAAGGAGAATTACAAAAAGTACTCATCGACAGAGACGCCATGTATAGAATCGAGAAGGTGTTGCGATATAAAGGAAATCAGGCTTTAGTCAAATGGTGGGGGTGGCCTAAAAAATTTAACAGCTACATACCCAGATCGTCATTAAAACATTATAAGAAGAGTTAATTATGTGGTATATAAAATATAATAATTAATAAAACTTAATCATAGCATTGAATTTACTTTTAAAAAAAAAATAAAAGAATGGAGCAATCTAATATAATGCAGAATGCCAATTTTCTGAGAGTTCTCAGACAAGCTAACCGCAGTCAACAGCGCACTATGATTCCTAGTGCAAACGATCGACAAATTTTAGCTCTTTGCGATGTCGTGGCTCACTTGCTGCAAGGACATGTTCCGATCTTACCTCGCGATCGCTCTCATTTCCGGCGTTGGCGGCTTGTTATGAGACAATTGATCAGTCCGAGGATTTCAATTGCAAGAAAAAAAGAGACACTACTCTCTCACTGCGAACTGATTCCAAGATTTTTGAGAGATTATTACTTAGCGAGAATACTCATTCGTATTTTGAGAGACAGAGAATCTTAAGTTATAAGAGAGAAGAGCCACGATTCGCTTTAAAACATGACTGTGTATTTATTTTTGGACGGGAAAGACTCGTCAAATTTTCATCCCTCTAATACTCCCGATGATTTTATCGTTACTCTACCTAAGCAATACATATTGACCGGTTCTTGGGAGTGCGCACTTTTAGAGGTAAACATTCGTCTGTCCAAAGAAAATGCGGTATCTCGAGTGTACGTATGTTGCGATATAGTTGAAGACAGTTATGTTCGAAATAATATGATACCGGTTCTGCGAGCTTGCGATGTAGCAAAGGACATTAAGGAGTCTTATAACCCTCCCTTCTACTTTGATATATCTAAACAAGACTTTCGTAACATCAGAGTTTTTATAAGAAACGAACAGTTAAGACCTATTCCAACAAGTATTGAATCGTTTGCGTGTGTCTTGTGTTTGCGGAAAAAGAAACCATGGGCTCAGTAGAGGTGTACGACTACGATAAAATGCAATGGGTTCCTTACGTTCCCGATTTTAATAAATGGATAAAGCATTTTGAAGACATTTCCGCTGGCAGGGTTCGTCCGGATTATAAAGGGAGGTACATTGTGGGGAGCGGCTCGCAACACCGAAATGAAACTCCTTCCAGAGACCATCACCCTTCCGTTAAATTAGTGACCCCAGTAGCTCAGGCAATCGAAATGGCTAAATCGGAACTGGAACGTGAAAACGACAACTCCTCACCGAAAAAGCGAAAATTTATAAGAAAGCGAGAAATGTATCGTCCACCGGGAAGACCTGCTAAACCTAGAACTAAGAAGCCAAAGCTGACCACCCAATTCGACGATTAATCATGAACGAAAACCATCTGACCCAGCTCTCCATCTTTGAACCTCCGCCGACGGACACGACCATACTTACAAGAGAATGGGTAGAGTTTAGACCTATCAATCAAATTTCTGAGTATTCTGCTTTGGAGTTCAACATTCCACCTCTCTCCACCGGATACATGGACCTTCAGAACAGTCGCTTAAAAGTTAAGCTAAGAATACTAAGTCCGCTGAACACCCCCATCACCGAAGAGAATGCCGTTGGTTTGACTAACTTACCTCTACACAGCATCTTTTCTCAAGTGGACACAGGTCTGCAGCAGACTCCAGTGTCACAGCTGGGAACGAATTATCCCTACAAGGCCTACATCGATACCTTACTATCTACATCCTCCGAAAACTACGAAGTCCGTCAGTCTCAGCTCTACTTTAAAGACACCTCTGATCCCGACGATACGGACCCGATCAAAGGGATAAACATCGGTTTATTTCAAAGATATCAGTTTACCAAAGGTGGAAAAATTTTGGACTTGGAAGGTCCCTTACACGTAGATATTTTTCAACAAGATCGTTTGGTTTTGAACGGGGTCGCGCTTTCCCTAAAACTATGGCCAAGTAAGGATTCATTTAGATTAAAATCAGCTGAGGGTAAAGATTACAAAATACAAATTATCGATGCCAGTTTTAAACTCTGCATTCAGCGACCTAATCCCGCCCTTACCATGGCGCATGTGAAAATGTTGGAGAAGTCCCCTGCCGTGTATCCCTACTTGTTTTCTAATTTAAAAATTGCTTCTATCGCTAAGGGAGAATTCAGTTTGACCATGGACGACGTATTTCAAGGAGAAGTTCCGTCTACGCTCATTCTGGGAATGGTGTCCAGTAGCGCCTTTAACGGAGACTATAAGAAATCTCCTTATAACTTTCAACATTTTAATTGTAACTTTGTAGCTTTCTACGTTGACGGGCAATCACTTCCCTCTAAACCTATACAACCGAATTACGACTCAGGCGCGTACTTGGAAGCTTACCAAACCCTGCTTCAAGGTAGAGAGCACGTTAGTGTAGAGCGAGGGGAATATCCCATTGGAAATGCTTTATATGTCTTGAATATTAATCCCTACATCGACTTTAATACGAAGCGGAAAGGTCATTGTCGCTTGGAATTAAAATTCGCTTTACCCCTTCCCGAGAGTGTGACTTTAATATTGTACGGAAAATTCCCACAGGTTCTCCACATTGATCAGTCTAGGAGCATTATATTCAAATGAACAATTACGAATTGAAACATTATTTATCATCATACGACGTTCAAGTCGTATGCAGCGACGACCTACCTGCTGTTGCAAAAAAGCACCAATTTTGGATCGTAAATACAGATGAATGCGGAGGAAAAGGTTTACATTGGGTCGTTTTTCATTTTCCCTCAAAAGGATCTATGGAGTTCTTTGATTCCCTCGGAAATCCCCCGGAACATTATCATAGGAGATTTCAAAGTATTCTAATATTCAATGGACCGAGATATAAATATATCGATTCCAGAATCCAGTCCGAGAAATCTTCTTTGTGTGGACAATACTGTATCTATTTCATCTTACAAAGAATTAAAGGACGTTCCATGAATACCATTGTACATGACTTTTATGATTTAAATACGCATGCTAATGATCGCTTGGTGACTGATTTTATAAATGATATGTATTGATTAAAAAAATTCAAATAATGTTTTTTTTTTTTTTAAATTTCATTTTGCTCCAAACCAAATAACATCATTTAAAAAAAAAAAATCATTGTTTGTAATGAGGAATTTAGGGAATAAAAAAAGGGATTATAAACAATGAAGTTGTATGGATTATTGGGGAAATAAAAAAAGTGAAGTTTTAAGTAAATGTGGATTACCTCTATTGATGTGTTGTTTCAGTAGACGATACATGTAGTGTCAGTGAATGAAAAAGAAAACACGTTAATTAACCCACAGACATTATTTACACAGATAAATCTATTAAGGTCTCTTTGTAAATAACTCAAAACTATCACTTCATTTGTTACAATGGAATTGTTGTGTTTTATCAAAGAAGAAGGATGTTATTACACCTTCTCAAACTGACCACCCGTGTAGTACTTGAGTAAATCAGCGTAATAACAAACTAAACAGATTTCTTATAAAAAGTCTTTTATTAAAACTCGTCCAGTACTGAACCCTCACTCTATACGAATCCCCCCCTCCCTCAAAATCATGAACAACAAAACTGGAGAGGTGAGGTGGGGTTACATGTATGCAAGATTCCCGATTACCTATTTTGAATGTAGACTTTGCTGTGAGGAGCGAAATGTGTCCTATATATGCTACACATGTAAGAAAATAGCGTGTTGCATGCCATGTTTTCGGCGACTAAAGAAGTCCCTTGGCTGTCCTCTCTGCAGGAGCACAACAACACCTGGTAAATTATTATGATTGTTAATTGGTGTACAGAAGCGTGAAATAGATGTTTCCCTTTTAAAATTTTGTCGTTATTTTTTTCTCTCTTTCAGACGCTGCTTCAATTTAAGTTTCAGTAAAGCAATGGGGGGGGGAGGGGGTCATTCTAACTTTTCCTTTTTAAGAGTATATTTATTACACTATATTGATATATATATATATATATATATATATATATATATATATATATATATATATATATATATATATATATTAACGAATTACGTACTATTAGACATCACGTCCCTTTTGTTCTAACCTGCTTCAATCACAATTTCTTTAAAGCAATCAGGGGGGGGGGGGGGGTTTTAAAAACCGGACAAACCATTATTTTTAAAAACGGAATGAAGTTTGACGTTACCTTTTCCTTTTTTTACGGAAAAGAACAATATTTTATAAATCTGTTTAAACCAAAATTGAACTGTTAAATGGAATTTATATCAAATTATTTTATTATGTACATTTTATATATATATATGAACTGTACTTTATATTACTATTACGTCACAGTCATTATGTTTAACGTTGCCTACATAACGTCACGAGAATGACGTCATAATGTAACTTGTTTACAATTTCAAATCTACTGATGAGCCCGCATGGGGCGAAAGCGCTTTAGATAAAAGTTTGAGTTTATCATTTGAATTTGGATTTTATTTTATCCCTATACCAAGGAAAAATAATTTTTTGAATATATATATATATATATATATATATATATATATATATATATAATATTTTTTTACTTCTCCTTGGCCATTGGAGGTGTCTAATATGTTTATTTTTTAACTCGCGTTTGATCATACATAATGGGAAGGGAGGGGGTCAAAGAAAAAAACCTACAATTAATTAATCTTTTCTTTAACTGTGTTTATCTCTCGATGTTTGTATATTCACATTAAAGAATTAAGTCTTAGAATACAATCGAGGTTTAAGGGCTACTAAAAAACCATCTTTTAAAAAAAAAAACGTAATAAGAATACTTTTATTCAGTAAAATCAGTGTTAATTTATATACAATCTCACGATTTACTATTTTTTGAATAAATAAAACGTAATACTTTTACGAGAATAAAGTCGTAATGTTCAGCAAACTCGATTCAAGGCTGTGCTAACTAAGAATCGTGTATAATCATTCCTACTACAGACGTATATACACATTGCGTAATGTCCCCATCGTGCAGCTGGTCCGCTACGCGAGGGGACAGTCTTCGAGAAGCATCAAAGGCGCCGCTAGCGCCTGGGTGACTCGACTTTCTCAAGGGGGGCAAAGGAATGGAATTCTTCAACTAGCTGACTTTGAACTTCTACGGAATCAAATAATTTAAGTAACATACAACTAAGATTTATTGTTTTAATATTTATGACATTTTTTAATCGTTAATTAATCATTTTTCTTTGTAAATGATTATTTTTCTTAACCTTGGGGCAACTTTACCAATATGGACACTTCCACTGGTCAAGGACTAGTTCCATTTTACTAATCAGGGATGATGAACATCTTTTATTAGTTTTAAAAACTATGTTTGTACATTATATCCAATTTTTTTTCCCCACTATTATTCTAAAAACAATTATACCCTTAGTTATCAACTGTTAGAATTTATTTTGGGGGGAAAACAATCATGACTTCGTAATTTAAATGACCATTCCACCCCTAATTGGAATGTGTCATTATTTATTATATAAGAGATGAAGGAAAAAAATCGCCATCTTAATTCTAAATTCGAAGACTTCAAGAGGCACGATGTTCATGTTGATTGCTATTCTGGTGATACAAGTTGATGCGCGGTGCGGGGTGACAGAGGGGGTAGTGCAGTGTCGAGACTGGAGGGAGTTTGAAGGGGGGAACTACGTCATGGCCAACGTCCTCATCCTGGAGAGGGCCATAGGAGAGATACACATTAAAGACTATCCGGCACTGACCAGGCTGATCATCCACGACCAACAAGCCAGTTGCAACGACATATCAGCAAACCCCTGGACGACGGTCCGCATAGGCTCCCGCACTTGTCAGGTAATTATATTTTTTTTTATATATATATTTAATTTTGTTATCTATGTCATAAAAAAAACAATAATTTTAATTCTCAAAAGAAAACTTGTAAGGGAAATATATCGTTAAGAATTTTCAATTGAATCGATGTTATTTTAACAAAATTAAAAAAGTAAATTAAAAATTGAAATTTATGTTTCTATCTCTTTTTTTCAGAACGCCCAGGACATCAGTGAACCCAAAGACGTAGCAATGACCACCCTAAGACCTGTTGAATTGGCAGCTTTTACCTTCAGTAAGTTTTGAATTAAAAAATAAATAAATTTGAATAAATAGTATAAAGGATTATTTAAATTACTATTACATAGAAGTTGTTTCTAAAGTCACCCTTTGTTTATTTAGACACACCTTGGATATATGTTATCCTTGGAGGGACGGGTGTAGTGATACTTATATTCATGGGGATGATCGTTTTTATGGTTAAAAGAAGGTGCCAGAGGAGACGGGTGGATCTCGAATCTCAATCCCTTACAGAATTCGATGCAGTTGTCATGCGGGATTTCAAGTGTGATTAACTTTTTTTTTAGTGATCATTCTAACGGTTTGTGTAAAGAGAAGAGGCCGTGAAGTACTCGTGCGAGCCCCCACACCTCCCCCAGTCATGCCAGCGCCCCAACCAGCGCCACTCAGACGCTCAACGAGGCAGAGGCGCCCACCCATCAGACTGTCATATTGATTTGTACTTGTAAAGATATTTTTTCATAAACTTGTTGATTTTTTTCTGAAATTATGTATCTAATAAACGAAATATAAATATTTGAATTATTTGTAATTTTTGTATTATTGTGTCAGTGGTTCTTTTGTAAATTTTCAGTACAATTGCTACAGTCTGTTTCAACCGTTTACAGAATTGAAAAAAAAAGACAGGTTGAAACTTAAAACATTTTAATTTTCACAAAAATGACAAACATTTAACTTCCGGAGGATTCTCCTTCCTGCCACCTCCTTTCTCAGCGCCTCCAGACTTTCTTCGAGTCTCTGCAGGCGCGGGTGAATACCTCCTCCTGGATGGTCTGGAAAAGATAAATGATATTATAATGAAAAGGACTAGAAAACTTAAGGATGTATAAAACAAAGGAAAGTAAACTGAGGCCTGTATTTTCTAAAGAAAAAATTTATGACTACGAGCACAAAAAAGAGAAGTTATTAGCAGAATTAAATTTGGTCGTAGTCGTAAGTTCTTTTTTTATAAAACAGGTCCTCTAGAAGTTCATGGTTAGATCATCCTTAAAATAATGTTTACTTGTGCTTTCCCGACTCAATTTTTTTTTTTAAATATTTGTTGACAAGATAAAAGGAATAAAGAAAAATAATATATATTTCGTTTTATCTGGAACGTAGGGAAATTGAGTTGGTCGGGAAAGCACAGTCAAACAATTTTAAAGATGACCTTACATGAAATACATTAATTAGTGTCGGATCCAGGAATTTCGCAACGAGAGGGTACAGTAAAAGGTAGGGAGCGGGGGGTTGTAATGAAGCCCCCCCCCCTCCTCCCCGGTAGGGCTATTAAGGCCACGGTCCTGATGGGGGTTCGGGGTGAATCCCTCGGAAGCTGACACATTTTTTTACATATAAGAAATGTTATTCCGGTGCGCCGTCCCTGGATCCGTCACTGTTTACTTTCGGATAACACATGATGAATTCAGTCATAACCCGGAATTCAGTCATAACCCGGAAAAAGATTATCCATGTAAAATAATGTAATACATGTGTATGACTAATGATGTACTATATAAGACTGAGGAAAATGTACTCATTTGAAAGAATGACTGTGAATTATGCAGACATTTTGTGCTATATGTAACAAGTCCTTTAGTACTGTTTCTAATTACAATCGACATTGTAAAAATGAACACGAAAAAACAAATAGTTTTCGTTGCGATATTTGTGAAAAGGTACTAAATCGTAAAGACAATTACGATCGACATGTTAGAGTGTGCAAAGCAGAATTTAAATGCTTTTACTGTGACTATACTTTTAAGTTTTCATCGCATCGCACATTACATGTTCGCAAGGAGCATAAGGATAAATTATTTAAGTGTGATAACTGCTGCACTGAATACTTGGAGGAGAGAAAGTATCAAAGACACCAGCAGACATGCAAGGTATAGTACCACATTTTGAAAATTGTTGTTAATTAAAATATAAGATATATGTACCGTATCTGCAGGAATTTGGGGGGACGCTGAAGGTGTTTGGAGGTTCACGCATGCGCCGTCCCCAGCCTCCGAAGAAAAGTCAATTCGTCTCCTCACCTACAAAAAAATGCATATTTACATTTTTTATTAACATAATTTTCATGAATGCGTTTGTCATTCATTAACATTTGTTGTTCAATCGATAGTTTATATATTAAATTTCTTGATTGATCGTAGAATATTTACAATTTTAAAAATAGAGATTAGAAAAAATTCAAATTGATAAAAACAAACCTGGCGAAACCTAGGTCCTCTAGGGGTTGAATCTATGACAATGACTCTGGAATTGAGCCACACATCATTGGTCTGAAATTGAAACGAATAAATAATGAAAGGTGTTTACTTAAATAAAGTTTGCTGATATAGCTTTACATGTACATGTACCACTCATTCGCTTAACATTGAATTTGACAGTAAATATTAGTGTAACGAACTTAGCATTTGATTATGATTCTTTTTACTTGTTGGGATGTTTTCATCCTCAAAATAGTTCAAAGTAGAAAATCATTATTTTCAATAAATATAGTTAAAATATAACTAATAATAGGTTATTATATTTTTATAAGATATTATAGGTATCATTAAAAGTATGTCGGTATTTAAAAACATTTATTTGAGTGAACACTCTTTTTTTCTCTCTCTCTCTCTTTTTTTTCTCTCTCTCTCTTTTTTTTTTTTTTTCAAAAAATGTGTTAAAATTAGTTCAAATACAGTATTTTGATGCGGAAGGTTTGAAATTAATGTCTACTTTATAAACATGATTGAATTGTGAATATCCATGACACCATTTACATTAAATATACAACAAAGAAAATGTATGAATGAGGATACATGTACATGAGAGTTATTGTCCCTTAGCGTCCATGACTTAAAACATTCTTATTCTTTCACTAAACATTTTTGCATTACATCTGTTGTAAAGAATTCCCCTAATAGATAGTTTTTTCGCTTCACATATTAGATGACATCGCAGGAAGATGAAAATAATCTTGAAAAAAAAAACTTCTATATAATTCATAAAATATGTTTAAATACTTACACTTCCACCTTTTCTTCCTGCCATATTTTCTGTCCTTCTCAATGTTAATATTATAGGTACAAGTTAGGAAGTGAAAAATACATTGAGCGCAGGCTTATTTATATGCTTTGATAGACTAAAAAATCCCCTTTTTTACTCTTTACATATAAAACAAATACAGTATTTGTAATTAATCCGTCTGGAAAAGCAGTACACGTGTACATCTATATTCCTTTTTTACACATCATCATCCGGGATTTTTTAAAGATTATTCCAGTTACTTCCCTTCAACACGGGAAACAATCACTTAAAAATATCGAATAGCAGAATGATCCAGACATCTTAATTAATATCCCGAGTTTGTCATTTTTTGGATTCAGCATTCAAAACTTTATAATGATATAATTATTATGAAAAAAATGCTGTTTAAAATAAAAAGAATAGTAACAAAAAAAGGTCACATCTTATCTCTCTTTCTAATTCTTTCACACATTTATTTAATTAGAGCAATTTTCCAACAACATCTACGACGTCAATGCAACGAAACAAAAGCAACGGATCTGTGGTAATTTATGACAATTATTTTTTTTTGGGTCTTTTTTATATTATATTCATAGTATTTTTTTTTTCTTAAATATATTTTTACTGGTCTTTTTTAAATTAAAGCAGAACAACGATCCTTCAATCCCTTCGACATCAGCTCAAGACAACAGCTTTGAGGTTTGTTAGTTTTCAAAATTATAATTTTTTTTTATCTATTATATCTATACAAGTCTGCAGTGAGGTAACAATCTCTTAAAATTTGTATTCATGATTCGTTCATCACATAATCTTGATTTTTTTTTTCATTTAGAACAATGAGCAAAGATCATCAAATTCATCAACACAACAAAAACAAGACCACGCAACGAAGGTAAAATAATTATAAAAAAAAAATTTAACTCGCACTTTACGAAATTGATGATTAATCTATACTAGTATTTTGCTACAATGAAGTTTATTTTTTTTTAATTCTCATTTAGGATGCTTCTTTTGGCTATACGTGTCGAACATGTCATCAAAGATTTGATTGTCGACGAACATTGTAAGTTCATCAGATGAATGTCCATGTTCAAATAGGAGCAGGTCTGTTACAACCCAGACCCTGGGGGAATGGGTCTCCACCATGGGGGGAATGCGAAAGAATTGATGAACAATTAAAGGATGTATACGAGACGAATGCCTCTTTAATCCTGAGAAGACACCAGGAAGGAAATGTTTATAGTGTATACAACTTTCCTATTGATAATCATTTCACCGTTTCCGAAATTATGCAAGCAGGAAACGAAATTTATGACCGTCAACAAAATGCCTTCCGTTTAAATTTAGAATTTGGTTTAATATTGAAAAACACCGAAACAGGTGAATATCGGTATTTTAAACCTTATCACAATCAAGAGGTATTTCAACGCCCCATTACGTATCGAGAAGAATTCATTTAAAACGTTTACAGCATCGCATGCAGCAATTAAACATCACTGATTATATTTTGCGTCAGCGTCCCGATACAAAGTGGAAACCATTTCTGATCACAAATGTCCGCATCGTCACATATCATTTGAATTTTGTTTTGGGAAACGGTAGAGTTACTGTGCCTAAACACATCAGTCAATCAAAATCACTCATTTCAATGACAACGAATAAGAAAGGTTATGTATATAAAGACAACCTTTGTGCTTTCCGCTGTTTAGCATATCACCTGAATAAAGATTGGTCTTTGTTGGAGAGACAAACCCAAGAGCTATTTCAAAAATGGGTCTCCTTTAACAAAAGACAAAACAAAGACATAAATTCAAATTCAAAAACATTTTCTGGTATTACTTTAGATCAGCTAGTCTATTTCGAAAAATGTTTCGAAATCAATGTCAACGTATTTTCTTTGCTAGATGATGGTTCTGCACATGTTATTTACAAATCAAAATGTAAATATTCAAATGATATTTACTTAAATCTCTTCGAACATCATTTGTCATACATTACGAAATTCGACACTTACGCCAAAAAATTTCAGTGCAAAACTTGTCATCGTCATTTTGGGTATTTGAAAAACTTGAAAAAACATCAGCGAGTGTGCAAGAATAAAACAAAGAGACAATTTCCAGGAGGGTTTTATTCTACCCCAAACACAATTTTTGATAAATTAGAACAATACGGTATCACTGTTAATCCCAGTGATCGTTTGTATGAATGGTTTTTAGTTTACGACTTTGAATCTATGCTTGTATCAGCTGATGATGGTCAAAACAGTGCAAGTCTTCAATATACGGAACAACACGTTCCCGTATCCGTAAGCATCTGTTCAAATGTAGAAGACCACACCGAACCCCTATGCATTGTTGAATCAAACATTGATTCTCTTGTTGAAAAAATGCTAGAGAACATGACAACAATCGCTCAGAGAGCAACCGAGTTAACCAAACAAAAGTTTACTGATGTATTTAGCGCCCTCGAGGACTCGGTGTTTGACGAGAGAATTAGTGAAGACGCACTCGAGTGCATCGGAGACGATGAGGAAATTCATAAAATGGTAAATGAAGAAAAAAAACTTTCCAAAAAATTAAAAGAAGAATTTGAAAGTTATTGCGAACAAATGATCTGCATTGGTTTCAATTCGGCCAAATACGATATTAATTTAATTAAGAGTTACATCGTCAAACACCTCCGACTCGACGAAAACGGCGCATTTGTTGTCAAACGCAATAATGCTTATTCGTGCATCAGCACAAACACTTTTAAGTTTTTAGACCTCTCTCAATATCTGAGCCCTGGTATAAATTATTCGAGGTTTTTAAGAGCATTCGATGTTCAAGAGAGTAAGGGTTTTTTCCCATACGAATTTTTCGATGATATAGGCAAACTTCGTTACGACCGACTTCCACCTCACGAGGCCTTTTATTCAAGTCTCAAAAACGCCAACATTACCGACGAAGAATATGCCTTCTGTCAAAGAGTGTGGGACGAGAAGAAAATGACAACGTTTCGCGATTTCCTCGTATGGTACAACAATCTCGACGTCGAACCTTTCGTGCAAGCGGTGAAGAATTTACAGCAATATTATTTCGAGCGCGGTATTGACATATTTAAATGTAGTATATCTGTACCGGGTCTTGCGCGTCGAATGTTATTTGAAAGTGGTACGAAAGAGGGGGCCAGTTTTGCTTTGTTCGATCGTGAAAATGAAGATCTGTACGACACGATCAAGCAGAATATTATAGGAGGACCGAGCATTATTTTCAAACGCTACCATGAAACAAAAAGGTCATTTATTCGTGGTAATCCACAAAAGCCATGTGGTCGAATTATCGGCTTTGACGCCAATGCGCTATACCTATACTGTATAGGAAAAGAAATGCCCGTCGGTGCTTTCGTGCGTAGGCGCATGCTCGATAAATTCAAACCTCAGAAACGAGATAAATATACCACTGCATATGATTGGTTAGATTGGTTGTCTCACTGTGGGAAATATAAAGCCATCAAACATAAGCTGAATTCAGGTAAAGAAAAAAAAATTGGCCGCTTTCCTGTTGACGGCTACGACGAGGAGACTAACACGGTGCTGCAGTTTCATGGATGTTACTGGCATGGACATCGTTGTTGGTTGACTCGTCATGTCAAAAACGACAAACTCTTAGAAATGAGACAAAATAAAACCAAACTTGCAACGAGTTACCTCAGAAAACAAGGTTACAAGGTTGTTGAAATGCGCGAGTGTACTTTCCGTAACAACATTCGCACTAACCTTCAGTTGAAAACATTCGTCAACTCGAGAAAGCAACCTACAGGTCAAGGTCCCATGACACATGATGATGTCATTAGAGAAGTTTTGAGCGGCAAGTTATTTGGCATGGTAGAATGTGACATTCGGGTTCCAGAGGCTTGGCCCGATCACTTCAAACACCCGAGTATGACACCATTCGAGTATTTCTCAGAGATGAGTCCTCTCTTTTGTACCACGGACATTCCATTTGACGCCATAGGCTCGCACATGCAAAACCATGCGAAACGGTTTAATCTGAGTACGAAACCTCGTCGTCTTCTGGTAGGAGGCATGAGAGCGCGACAACTGTTAATAGCTACGCCTTTACTGCGCTGGTATATAGAGCACGGTCTGGAGATTACCAAAATCTACCAGACTGTAGAATATACACCTCAGAGATGTTTTAAGAACTTCGTTCGCGATGTAAGCGACGCGCGACGTCAAGGCGACGTAGACCCGACGAAATCCATAATTGCGGATACGCGTAAACTTGAAGGAAATAGTGCATTCGGATCCACAATTATGGACCAGGAAAAGTTTCAAACCGTCAAATTCGTGCGCGGCGAAGGAAAGGCCATGATGGAGACAAACGAACCCACTTTTAAGAAATTATCTACGCTTTTCGACGAGGAAGAGCTTTTCGAAATTGAAAAAAATAAGAAAAAATTAAAACTGAATTTACCCATTCAGATCGGTTACTTTATCTTGCAGTATGCAAAACTGCACATGTTACAGTTTTACAATGACTTCATGGATAGATTTGTAAACCGTGCAGACTTTGAATACTGCGAGATGGACACCGACACTGCCTACATGGCCATTTCGGGACCCACCTTTGAGTCTGTGATTAAACCTGAATTGCGACAGATTTACGATCACAGTCTCAAAGGTCACTGTGTCGACACTTTAGAGATCGAGGCGGACTGCGATCGGCATTGGTTTCCTCGCACTTGTTGCGAGAGACACGCAAAGTTCGATCGTAGAACGCCTGGACTCTTCAAAATTGAATTTGAAGGTGACGAACTGATAGGTTTATGTTCGAAGACTTACATCGTCTCTACGCGTACGCAGAAGAAACGTTCCAGTCAATTGATTGTAGCGCAGCGACTACTTAGACGCGCAAAGAAATGTAGGTTTAGAAAATTTCAAGTTATCAAACCACGTTTGGTAACGAAACTAAAGTTCTCTTGCAAGGGAATTTCAAAGAAAAGACTTAAAGCTCCCCTCGCCTTATTCAGAGATGTATTAAAAACTCAAAAAGTGGGAACTGGAACAAATATGGGATTCAAACTTAGAAACAACAGTGTGTATACGTATCGTCAAATAAGGAATGGTTTGACTTATTTTTACTGTAAGAGAAAAGTTTTAAATGACGGAGTTAGCACTGAACCATTAGATTTCGAGTTATGTCCTGTAAAAAGCAAAAAGGAATATGAAACTGAAATAGATGACTTTGATCTCGAACTAGTACACATGCTCGCGGAAAGCGAGTAATTGACATTATTTGTTGCATGACACTGTTGTTCGAAGAGATTGTATATACTTTCTTTTTTGTAAAGTTTGTGTTGCACTGGAAA